GGCTTGGCCCTTCTCTTTCACTCTCATCTTTCTTCTCGTTTTTGGGTTGACGCCTTCAGCACTGCAGCTTATATTATCAACCGATTGCCTACTCCACTTCTTGGAGGTAAGTCACCCTTTGAACTCCTTTATGGCTACACTCCACATTATGACAATTTTCATCCCTTTGGTTGTCGTGTTTATCCTTATTTGCGTGATTATATGCCTAACAAGCTTTCTCCCCGCAGCATTCCTTGTATTTTTTTGGGTTATAGTCCTGCTCATAAAGGGTTTCGCTGTCTTGATCCGGCCACCACTAAGCTATATATCACCTGTCATGCTCAATTTGATGAAACCCATTTTCCTGCTATCCCTAGCTCCCAGACCCAACCTCTTTCATCTATTCCTATTTCAAATTTCTTAGAACCACATTTTCATCATATTGATTCATCCCCCCTACCACTTCATCACCACAAACTCCTCGATCCAGTTCATCCCCGTGTGATATTTGTTCTGACCTTGTAGATGAGTCTGTGCAGGTTGATACTTCTCTTGCAGGTTCCACTTTGCCACCCTCGACTTCTAATTCGACCTCTATTGAACCTCCTGTTGATTTCTCTTCTTTGGGCACTCATCCTATGATCACACGAGCCAAAGCTGGTATATTCAAGACTCGTCATCCAGCAAATCTTGGTATTTTGGGCTCATCTGGACTTCTTTCTGCTCTTCTTGCATCCACTGAGCCAAAAGGATTCAAATCTGCGGCTAAGAATCCTGCTTGAGTGGCTGCCATGGATGAAGAAATTCGAGCATTACAACAAAATGATACTTGGACTTTGGTTCCTCGCCCTGCCAACACCAACATCGTGGGCTCTAAATGGGTGTTTCGTATTAAATATTTGCCTGATGAATCTGTTGAGCGTTTCAAGGCTCGTCTTGTTGCCAAAGGTTATACTCAGGTTTCTGGTCTTGACTACACTGACACTTTCAGTCCGGTTGTCAAAGCTACCACTGTCCGTGTTGTGCTTTCTATTGCAGTCACAAATAAATGGCCTCTTCGACAACTTGATGTCAAGAATGCTTTTCTCAATGGAACTCTTATTGAACGTGTTCATATGGAACAACCTCCTGGGTATATTGATTCTCGATTTCCCACTCATGTTTGTCTATTAAAGAAAGCCCTCTATGGTTTAAAGCAAGCTCCTCGTGCTTGGTTTCAGCGTTTTAGCTCATTTCTTCTCACACTTGGGTTTTCTTGCAGTCGCGCTGACACGTCCCTTTTTGTCTTTCATCAGCAATCTAACATTATCTATTTTCTTCTTTATGTTGATGACATTATTGTTACCGGCAACAACTCATCTCTTATTGACAGCTTTACTCGCAATCTTCATTATGAGTTTGCTACCAAAGATTTGGGTTCTCTCAGTTACTTTCTTGGTCTTGAAGCTTCACCCACTCCTGATGGTCTCTTTATTAGTCAGTTAAAATATGCTCGAGATATTCTTACTCGTGCTCAGTTGCTCGATAGCAAACCAGTTCACACTCCCATGGTTGTTTCTCAACACCTGACTGTTGATGGTTCTCCTTTCTCTGATCCTACTCTCTACAGATCTCTTGTTGGCGCCCTTCAGTACTTGACTATTACGCGTCCAGATATTGCCTATGCTGTCAATTCTGTCAGTCAATTCTTGCATGCCCCTACTGCAGATCACTTTCTTGCTGTCAAACGTATTATTCGCTATGTCAAAGGAACACTCCACTTTGGTCTTACCTTTCGTCCATCCACTGTTCCTAGTACGCTAGTCGCTTATTCGGATGCTGCTGGGCTGGTTGTCCCGATACTCGTCGTTCTACATCCGGCTATTCTATTTATCTTGGTAACAATCTGGTTTCTTGGAGTGCCAAAAAGCAACCTACTGTCTCACGCTCCAGCTGTGAATCTGAGTATCGTGCTCTTGCCACAACCGCTGCTGAACTTCTTTGGGTTACGCATCTTTTGCATGACCTCAAGGTCCCTATTTCAAAGCAGCCCTTACTCTTATGTGACAACAAAAGTGCTATTTTTTTGAGCTCTAATCCCGTTTCTCACAAGCGGGCCAAACATGTTGAACTAGATTATCATTTCCTTCGAGAACTTGTTATCGCTGGCAAACTTCGCACACAATATGTACCCTCTCATCTCCAAGTTGCTGACATCTTCACAAAGAGTATTTCTCGACCTCTCTTTGAATTTTTCAGATCCAAGCTTTACGTTCGTTCAAATCCGACGCTCAGCTTGCGGGGGGGTGTTAAGGATAGTTGACCGTTCACTATAAGGCAAATATCTAGATATTTGCCTTACATTACGGGTTACCATATTTGCCCTCTTATTAATGGCAAATATATTGCATTCATTTATTATTCTTTCCTTTCATTACTATTTCCATAATATTTGTAATTTACCATATTTCTGTATCCTGAAAATGATTATAAATAAGAGAACTCTCACCCCCATTTAGGTATGGTGGATTCAGCAAACATTCACACAAATTTGTAATAAGACACAAGAGAACAGACAAACAACGTTGTTTATTTGCAAAAACTACGTACCATTATGTTACATTGCATTGTAATGAAACTATAAAAAGATGGTGGAATTCTGAGAAGATTTCCAAACCCATCATAACACGACGTACGACCAAACTGATTATTTAAACACGACATTGAAATGGAAAATTGAAGAAGAAACCAGAAAAGGAAATGAAAGGATTTGGTTTCAAGCAGGGCATTGGAAGCCAGACGGAACCTTCTTTCCACAGTAGTTCAAAAGCAAGCTGAGGGAAACTGAGAGGTCAATCTGGAGACCCAAGGCTTTGGTCTTCACCGCAGTGCAAAGGCACACAGCAGCTTCCAAGTCAACAAGGCCTTGGATTAGGGTGCAACATGGGGATTTTGGTGGTGAACCGATCACTACGTGCACTAGACCGTCTAGCAAGTAGGCGCAAACGCCGAGCTTTAGGGTGTCCTTGGGGCACTTGAGGAGTGATGGTGGCTGCCATGAAGGGGTGGGCTTGTGGGGCTTGGGTGGCGGCGGTGGGCAAGGGACATACGTGGAGCTGACTATAGTGAAGAAGAGGAGGTTGACGAGGAGGAGGAGGGCAATGGGTGAAGAGAGCTTGGAAGCCATTGGTGGAGAGATATTGAAGGGTTTGTAGGTTTGTGCGATGGCTTGTGAAGAATTATGAGAAGGGTTAGGGTTTTTATAGATTGGGTTTGGGAATTTGTTGTATTTTAACACAAAAATTCCTTATAAATTGCTAGATACTAAACACAAAACTTTTTCATTTACTTTATTAAGTTTTGAGGAATTGATTTGAGAGAGATGAGTTTTCAATTAGTTTGTCGATATCAAATATGTTTAAAAGAAATTACTGTGGTATGTATGGTTGGAAAATAATATATGATAGAAGCCTTCAAGACAAGTGGGTAATAGATGATAATCTAGAAATTATTTTTATCACAACAATGGGTAACAAATTATTTTTAGACAAGTGGGAAAATAATTATTTTACTGTGGTTGTCATGGCTTTCTAACACTGCATGGGTAAAAAATTTTGATTTATTAACTTATTTGATTCGGTTTGGTGTTTCTTGTATTTTATTTTTTATTCACTCATTCCCATTAAGGTTTAGCTTCTCCTTTAGTCTCAAGTTAATGTTTTATGTAACGATCCTAAATTTCAACATACTCAAAGTCGCTACTAAATCTCATGCTAGTCTCTTAAATGCAGAATATAGCCCTTAGATACTCATCATAAATAACGGAAAATTTAAAACACATTCAGAACACTTCAAGCTACTAGAACACATTGTCGGTCTTACGTGTTTCAAAACATAACGTTGGAATTTAAAATTAAAACAAAAACAATTACAAATGAAATAATTTAAATAATGAAATAAAAGCGTTCTATACTGACCTAAGATTAAGAATTTAAACATGCAACTACCCTATGCACGTGCTACCGTATCTATTTTCGATGTCGTCATCGTCCGTACATAGGCGTCTTGTCTTTACCTGAAAAATGATATGTGGCACACGGCTTGAGTACTTCGAAAAATACTCAGTAAGTCACCCACTGTAGGGGTCATGCTGACGCAAACACAAGCAACATGCTCTTAGGATCGATCCCTAGCGCATCTTGGAATGACCTACAATCTCGAACAAATTAGATGTGTAGTACTTCTTTACACATGACCCACACGTGCGAGTGTGAATCTGTAACGACCCGAAATTTTCTACTTAATTTAAGGTTGCTACTGTATACGTACCATAAACATTAAATGCGGAAGACTTCATTTAAATTCCATAAAACATAACATTTATCTTAAAACACAGCCATGGACTTGCGTGTTTGGAAAACATCTTTAAAACGACGCAACAAAAGACACGAAATAAAACAAATATGCATTTAAGTTTAAAACATTCTATTCTAGCGTAAGTCTAAGAAAATTGATATGAACCACGACCAATGAAGTTCTATTTTAGCATTGTTGGGAGCTAAACTTTTTTTTGCAAATACTTGTGTTTAGAACTTGCATGTAGAGTCATTCAAGTGGTATTGATCAAACCTCTTGTGGAGTGATTCGAATCACGAGTTTAGAAACGAGTTTTCTTTACTCTTGATCTTGATCATCAAGGTAATCCGAATCTTATTCTCCTTGTATTGATTCCTTATCCATATCATTTTGGTATCAAAGCTTTGGGCTCAAGATCGGATATATGTTTCATTGCGCTTATCTCTTTTAATTCTCTTATATTTTTTTTGTCTCAGTTTGTGTAGAATGTTCATATTCTATCACAAAAATATATAACAAAAAAAAAAAAGTGATGGTCGTCGGCAGAGCCGAAAACTCCGGTGAACGCCGGAGTTTTCGCTCGCACACGACCCATAAAGGGTGGCCAAGGGCTGGGATGCCACAAATCGCATCCCCGACCTTCCGCCACCCTGGGAGAACCTGCAAAGAAACGAAAACCGTGAAAAGAAAACGAGAAGGAATAGAAAACCGACGGAACTTCGGCGAAGCCGAACCATACGAATCGACGTCAAAACCCCCATTTTACACCACAAAAGTAACCTCAGAACCCTTTATACACCTCAGGAGTAGGCTTTAAACGAGTCCCTTACGCTGAACACCGTCAGCAAGGAAGACGGAACGGCGGACTTCTGAGATTCTCAAGATCCGGGAGTGTGAGGTCCTTACCAACAAAATCTGTACCAAAAATGGGGTTAGGATGAACCGGTCCATCACCGCGCACGGCCCGTCACCCATGAGTGATCCATTAACCCGTTCCTCGACCCGAGACTCCTACACATGCATCGCTCTCTGATTGTGCCACGTGGCACATCTGCAGTGCGGCTCCTCTTGGCTTCGGTGGCTTAATCGGCTCTGCGGCGGCTCATTGGCTCCGGCGGCTTATTCAGTTCGAAAAACTTGTTTCCAGCCCGTTTGACACCGTTCCGACCCTCCCGGACCTGGTTTCGGCCCTGTTTAAGGTAAAATGGAACTTTTTAAGGTCGTATTTCACAAATTCCAGTTGGGAATTTATTATAATTTGTGAAATACTAACGAAAGTGACTAATTAACCAATAGGAACCAACCACAAACGGAAGCGTAGAATGTCCATGAGGAGCTAGGAGTTTACGTTATATTCTAGGGAGTACTTCGGCTAAGGCCTACCAAGTAAGTGGCTCACCCGTTGTAGGTTACGCGTTAATTGCTGTATGTTGGCACGTGCTCGTGGATATGCACGTGTCATTAAATTGTATGCTAGCTTAATGTGCTTAAGTACGAAATCTTGTGAACGTGAATGTATGTTATGTATGCTGCTTAGTTGATGTGATATGTTATGCATGTGACGATGTGTGGCCCTTATACGATTATGGCTTGTTTGTATGAATATTTGAATGTAACTGTATGAATTGTATGACATGAAATATGGTAAATTGCATGAAGCATAACCCCGCTAGGAATATGTATGACTTGAAACGAAATGAGAATGAGAATGACATGTAAGTATGAAAACGTGGCATGGGGTTATGTTCATTAATGATAACTGTAGGACTAGTGGGACCTAATGCATATTGTGTGTTCATGCATTTGGGGGGATACCCCTACCCCATCACGAGGGTATGGACGCGTACATCCAATGGCAGGACAACGATCGTTATGCCTTTTATAGCGCTACCGTGACGGTTCTAGTTTTAACGGGTCCCGGTATAAGGGGCTCCAAGAGTATGCCCACCGGCTAGGGTAGTGGCCCAATGGTGTGCGAACTAGCTGGTGAGCCCATGCTCGCACGTATGGGCTGCGTGTAGAGTATATGGTACACGTCCACGATTACCTGTTAGGATTACACCGTAGGAAAAACGAAACGAAACAAAACGAAAGATAGGTCCCATTATTTCATTGCATGTGTTTGTCGCATAACCCCGATAGGGGGTCACTTACTGAGTATTCTACAAATACTCAAGCCTCGTGCTACTTTACTTTTGCAGATAAGGGCAAGGCATCCATGTGACAATGACGGCGACATCATACATCCCAAGACCGTGGCACATTCATAGGGTAGTTGTTTATTTTTTTCCATTTCGGAGTCTAGGCTTAATTTGTTGCATCATTAGTATAGGTTAGTATAGATTGAAATGTATTTGCATAATAAACCATAGGGTAGAATAAAACATTCATTTTGGACTGTTAAACTTCGATAACATGAAACTCATCCTTGTTTCAAATGAAAACGAGTTTGCATAAGATATTAAAAGAATGAAAATTTGTAATATAAACAAAACTCTATCGAAACTCTCTATAGCAATCACTGTGCTGCTTAAGATGTCTTTGCCTTTACCTAAAAAATAGAAAATATTGAGTATGAAACATATTGAGTAAATAATCGTACTTCTAGGCTGAGGAGATACAATCATAAACAATGAAGAAGTGCCTAGAGTTATTTCAAGCTTAAGGTTTGTGTGTTATTTCTCGATCTCCATAATATCATTTATTTTATTTCTAGCCAACGCCAATTTGGAGAACACGATGAAGAAAAAAGAAAATAGAGGAAGTCGATTTGGAGTTTGTTTTGGAACTATTCCTTGACGAGAAGGATAAAACGAACATCAACTCAAGAAATTTAGTGAACCCTGCACATGTCATTGTTATGACTGTTTGCATGTATTATGTGATGCTATGCTATGTTATAAATTACGCTATGTCCTATTATGTTCTGTTATAGGCTATGCTATAATACGACTATACCATGTTACCATGTTGTGGAATTATATTTATGATATTGATGATATGATTCATAAAACTCCATACGCCAAGCTATGTAAATTATGTTAATTAGGGAAGATATGACAATTATTACGTATGCATGTTTCACAGACTTGTTATGTCATGAATGAATGGATTTATGACTTGAATCATAAACTTATGCCATGGTTTTAAGCTATGGGGACCTCATGCATTTATGTGTGTCATTTGCATTAGGATACTTTCCCATTGTGATTAATACGAATGCGTAAATTACAATATCTATGTTTGCCCTGATATTACGTGGGTCCTTTCTCTGTGTTGTTTTCAGTAGCCTAAGCGTTCACTAACCTGACGAATGAGGCCTAGGGAATATATACATGAGTCTGTCTTCTGAGACTATGTGCACGTGCGTAGGCCGTATGTATGAAAGTACTACACATTCAACCCTGCCCGGACAGAGTTTAAACCATGTCATGATTGTTTTATAAAATGATAGGTCCCACCATATTGCAATTAATTGCATTTTTTTTTACTTCCATAGTAGGGTTACTTATGGATTATTTCTTAAAATACGAAGTCACATGTGGTGAAGGCACTCGTGTATAGATGACGGCGTCTAGTGAAGGCACTCGTGTATAGATGATGGCGTCTGGTGAAGGCCATTAGATCAAAGCTAAGGTAGTTGCATTCATGTTTGTTTCAATAGCTCTTTGTTAGATCACGACATCACGTTATTTTTTTTTTATCTCATTTAAATTCACGTTAGTTATTTTCTGCTATATTGTCATAACAATATTGTTTTTAATGAATTTATTATGAACGTTTAAGTCCACGACATCGTTTATGAAATATTTTCATAGACTTTTCCACACTTATTAGTCATATCATGCATGCAGTGGTATCTATATTTGATTAGGAAAATCAGGGTTGCTATGGATGTTATGTATAACCGAAGATTTAATGTTAGGAATCATAGATTTAGCTACTTATATA